ATCACCGCTTGAAACATGAAGACGACTCGTCACTTCTTGGGCTGAACACGTCTTACGAATATTAAAAAAATCAATGCAGCAGGACTTTCCGTACGAAGAGCCCTCTGGCTCAGGGTGGATTTCCTCCGTCAATAAATTCGCTCGTTTCTCGGTCCGCGTGTCCTGGCGAGGGTCGTGGCGGCAGCAGCGTGCTGAGTCGTGGCGGGCCATGCCTCCCTGTCCCTGGCTACAGACTCTACTACACTATACACTACACTACTACACTATACACTACTACACTATACACTACACTACTACACTATACACTACACTACTACACTATACACTACTATACACTACTACACTATACACTACTATACACTACTACACTATACACTACACTATACACTACTACACTATACACTACTATACACTACTACACTATACACTACACTACTACACTATACACTACTACACTATACACTACACTACTACACTAAACACTACTATACACTACTAACTATACACTACTATACACTACTACACTATACACTACACTATACACTACACTATACACTACTACACTATACACTACACTACTACACTACTACACTATACACTACACTATACACTACTACACTATACACTACACTACTACACTACACTATACACTACTATACACTACTTTACACCACTACACTATACACTACTACACTATACACTACTACACTACACACTAATATACACTATACACTACTACACTATACAATACACTATACACTACTACACTATACACTACTACACTATACACTACTTTACACTACTACACTACTACACTATACACTACTACACTACACACTAATATACACTATACACTACTACACTATACAATACACTATACACTACTACATTATACACTACACTATACACTACTACACTATACACTACACTACTACACTACACTATACACTACTATACACTACTTACACTACTACACTATACACTACTTTACACTACTACACTATACACTACTACACTATACACTACTACACTATACACTACTCTACACTACTACACTATATACTACTACACTATACACTAATATACACTATACACTACTTTACACTACTACACTATACACTACTACACGATACACTACTTTACACTACTATACTATACACTACTACACTTTACACTACTACACTATACACTACTATACATGACACACTACTTACTATACACTACTATACACTACACTATACACTACTATACACTACACTATACACTACTACACTATACACTACTATACATGACACACTACTTACTATACACTACATTATACACTACTTTACACTACTACACTATACACTACTATAAATGACACACTACTTACTATACACTACATTATACACTACTTTACACTACTACACTATACACTACTATACATGACACACTACTTACTATACACTACATTATACACTACTTTACACTACTACACTATACACTACACTATACACTACTATACAATACACTATACACTACTACACTACTATACATGACACATTACTTACTATACACTACACTATACACTACCTTACACTACTACACTATACACTACTACACTATACACTACACTACTACACTACACTATACACTACTACACTATACACTACTATACATGACACACTACTTACTATACACTATACACTACTACACTATACACTACTATACATGACACACTACTTACTATACACAGACTCGATCTCTTCCTGGGGAAGTTCCAGGGCGTTCCCAGCCGAGCGACACAGTCCCACAGCCAGCAGCGTGTCCTGGGCCGGCCCCGGGGACTTCGCCCAGTGTCAAAATTATTATTATTATTCTTGGTTCTTTCGGTAAAGTCACGTAGAAGGGAAGTAATAAAATAATAAAAATGAAACATAACAAAATAATTCTCACGACGTGTCGGCCACAACGCAAGCAGCCGTCTTCAGGTGGAAAACAGGTCTGTCGAGAAGGCAGAGTCTGAATGTGCGGCTGCTTGCGTTGTGGCCGAAACGTCGTGAGAATTATTTTGTTATGTTTTATTTTTATTATTTTATTACTTCCCTTCTACGTGATGACTTTACCGAAAGAACCAAGAAGATGAATCCCTGCAGTCACGAAAGAAGCTTTAAATCGAAAATTATTATTATTGTTACTATGAATGCTGGCACGGCAGCACACGAAGGGGTGGGTGGCCAACACCACGCCAGGCCGCCTTTGTCTCCCCAGTGGCGATGTTTTTACACACCGCACCAGGCACTCATTTGAGGCTGAGTCGACCTAGGGGAGGCCCACGACAGGTTCAGATAATTCGTCACTGGGTGTTGGCCGTGAGCGGGAATCGCGAAGTCGGGTCTCCGTATTCGTAGTGCAGTGTGCTAACCGCTGCGCCACCGCTCTCCACCGCATGTACACATACAAAAGTAACAAAAAAGATCCCCCGTGTAGCCTTAACAGACTGTTGGGGCAAGAGCTGCTAGCGAGCACCTATGAAGGCCGGCACGGCACACGAGGGGGTGGGTGGCCAACACCACGCCCATCAGTCTTAATTTGAGGCTGAGTCGACCTAGGGGAGGCCCAAAACCGATTCAGATAATTGTCACTGGTGTTGGCCGTGAGCGGGCTACAAACTCAGGTCGCCGGGTTTGCAGCTCATCGCGTTAACAGCTAAACAACCGCTCGTAAATACACTCACCCACCCACCTAGCCACCCACCCAGCCATCCACTCATCCACTCACCTGGCCATCCACTCACTCACTCACCCACTCACCTAGCCCATCCATCCACCTAGTCACCCACCCACCTAACCACCCACCCAGCCATCCACTCACCTGGCCATTCACTCACTTACCCACTCACCTAGCCCATCCATCCACCAAACCATCCACTCACCCACTCAGCTCATCCAGCCATCCATATCTACCACTCTCTACTTCCCACTCACCCGTCTGTCTACCCATCAACCCACCCACCCGTTCACTCACCCCATCCACACCATCACCTCGCATCTCCCATCTCCCCGCTCATCCATCCACCCACCCACTGCCCCCCCCCCCCGCACATGGCCCCCACTCCCTCCCCTCCCACAGCACCCCCAACAATCTACAATCTACACCACAATAATGTGCGTGCGTGTGTGTGTGTATGTAGAATGGTTTCCTGGCAACTTGGGAGAGATGGCAGTGACAGAGCGGATAGGGAAAGCGACCACCATCACCTGCTACTGCTGCTGCTGCTGGCAGCTTGTCCTGTATGTGGACCGGGAAGGACCTCTCCCATCTCACCAGCACTCCCTAGAGCTGTCGAGGATGAGAGCCGTACGAGGAGTAGTCGGGCTGTAGGGTAGCGCAGGTAAGAGCGGGCGATGATGAGACGCCACGCTCTGTGAGCACAGATGGGTCACCGCTCTGCTGTACGGAACAGCAGCAGCTGCCTGTAGGAGATGCAGCATCAGCTGTGTGTCTGCCTGTAGGAGATGCAGTAGCAGCAGCTGTGTGTCTGCGTGTAGGAGATGCAGTAGCAGCAGCTGTGTGTCTGCGTGTAGGAGATGCAGTAGTAGCAGCTGCCTCTGCGTGTAGGAGATGCAGTAGCAGGAGCTGCGTGTCTGCCTGTAGAAGATGCAGCATCAGCAGCTGTGTCTCTGCCTGTAGGATATGCAGCATCAGCAGCTGTGTGTCTGCGTGTAGGAGATGCAGTAGCAGTAGCAGCAGCGTAAGGCCGGAGAACTTCTGGAGATGTGCAGAGGAGATGGATAGGGGTGGGGCTAGGGACTTGTTCTGTAGATGTGGACGAGATCAATATGCTGGATGCTGCCATGCAGCGTGGCTGAGTCGACGCTTGCGATAGATACTGAGTGGTATGGTATAGCCGTGCCCCTATAGATCTGCATGGTAGACCAGTGCTACTTGAGATGCTCCTAGAGATGTTGATGTGGCATATGGTATAAACTCGTGCTGCAGCAGACGTGGATATGCTGGATGGTATAGCGACACTGCTAGTGACGATGCTACAGACGTGACCATGCCGAATGGGATATCTGCACTGCTCTAGATGTGGATGTGCTGTCTAGTATAGCCGTGCCGTTACGGATGATGCTATAGATGTGGATGTGTCGTGTGGTATAGCCGTACCGCGATAGATGTGGCTATGCCGTATAGTTGTACCGCTGTAGGTGTGTGCTGTGTATAGGATAGCTATACTCGAGATGTGGGTCCAGGCCGGCTGTAGAGCGTCGCTATAGACTCCGGCGTACTCTCAACCGGGGTGTTCATAATGAGGGCGAATTCTCATCCCGAATGCAGCGCTTACACGACGTGTAACTTCATGGTCAACATGTACCTGTCGACAGGTGAGTGAGTGTGTGCGTGCACTTGTGTGTGCGCATGTGTGTGTGTGTACACGTGTGTGTGGACGTGTGTGTACACGTGTGTGTGTGTACGTGTGTGTGTACATGGGTCTGCCCCGTGACCTCCTGCCAGCGGGCGTTCGACACTTCACGTGGCCTCAAGGTGCACTTGGCCTGGCACAAGCGTCATGGTGACGTCACCGCCACTTAGTGGCGAATGGCGGTTGTTGTTGTTGTGTACACGTGTGTGTGTACACGTGTGTGTGTACACGCGTGTGGGGAGCGGTAGTGTAGCGGTTAGCGCGCTGCGCTACGATCCTGGCGACCAAGGTTTCGATTCCCGCTCACGGCCAAACACCGGTGACGATTATCTGAACCGGTCGTGGGCCTCCCCTAGGTCGACTCAGCCTCAAATGGTACCTGGTGCGGTGTAGTAAACATCGCCACTGAAGAGACAAAGGCGGTCGGGCGTGGTGCTGGCCACCCACCCCCTCGTGTACCGTTCCGACCTTCATAGGTGCTCGTTAACAGCACTTGCCCCAACAGTCTGTTACAGGCTATACGGGGGATCTTTGTGATTCCCGCTCGCGACCAACACCGGTGACAATTGTCTGGACTGCTCATGGTCCTCCGCTAGGTGGACTCCGCCTCAAATGAGTACCTGGTGCGGTGCGTAGGAAACATCGCCACTGGGGAGACAAAGGCGGTCGGGCGTAGTGTTGGCCTTCATAGCTACTACTCGCTAACAGCACTTGCCCCAGGAGTCTGTTCAGGCTACGTGGGGGGGATCTATGTGTAAGTTATAATCTGTGTGAGTGTGTGGTCTAATCCACGTTAGTTTTACATGTACAGAGATTCGATACTCCGTCAATGCGTATTTAACGTACCATATATCTAATTCGTCCACCCCACTTCATAAGTTACGTTTTGTATTTTTTGCGCAATTGCGTTGCCGTATCACAACAAGGTGATGACTTTCTCTCTCTGTGTTCCGTAAATTGATGCGTGTCGTATAGTCTGTGTAGGTGGATCCACGTGTGTGAGTGTGTGGTATCCCCTAGGTCGACTCAGCCTCAAAATGAGTACCTGGTGCGGCGTGTAGTAACCATGGCCACCCACCCCCTCGTGTGCCGTGCCGGCCTTCATAGGTGCTACTCGCTAACAGCACTTGCCCCAACAGTCTGTTACAGGCTATACGGGGGATCTTTGTCTTTGTTTGTTCACGCTAAGAACCTTTGCTTCCTGAGTTCGATCCCCGCTCACGGCCAACACCGATGACGATTAATCTGAACCGGTCCTGGGCCTCCCATAGGTCGACTCAACCTCAAATTAGTACCTTGTGCGGTGCGTAGCAAACATCGCCACTGTGGCATAGACGAAGGCGGGGGAGGGAGGAGTCTTGGACTCGTGGCGTCATCGTGAAGCGAGTAGCGACTTACGAATCGGTGATGCTCACATCACTCCCTCCTTGCACAGTCACGGCCGCAATAGGTGCTCGCTAACAGCATAAGATCCCCGGCACGTTCTGTTCAAGCAGTGTGGGTCTTCTTAACTTGGGGTGTATCACGCACCTCCTAGGAGGTGGGGGGGGAGGGGTGGCGAGACGTGGCCAGATTTTCTTTTTAGAAGGTAAATCATCGAAAACACAAATTAAGCACGAGGCGCATACGTTACAACTTAACTCTGTTTCATCTTCTTGGTTCTTTCGGTAAAGTCACGTAGAATGGAAATAATAAACTAATAAAAATAAAACATAATAAAATAATTCTCACGACGTTTCGGCCACAACAGAGTCTGAATGACTCTGTCTCCTCGATAGACCTGTTCTCCACCTGAGGACGGCTACTTGCGTTGTGGCCGAAACGTCGTGAGAATTATTTTATTAGTTTTATTTTTATTATTTTATTATTTCCATTCTACGTGACTTTACCGAAAGAACCAAGAAGATGAATCCCTGCAGTCACGAAAGCTTTAAATCGAAATTTAACTCTGTTTATTAACATCACGGCCGTAGCCATGGAGTCAACATTGGGGGGGGGGGACCAAATCTTCCAGGGGGTGTGGGGGTCCCCCCCCCCCAGAAAAAAATCTTAATTTGAAAACTAATTTCCAGCCTAAATATTTTAAAATTCACTAACACATGGGATGGACTTTTTAAATTTTTTTTTACAATAATGTCTAATAGTGTATTGTATTACATTGCTCTGTTTAATATTTTTTACCTTTTCTTGTTTCACTGTATGTAATGGCAGAGATTAGGGATTCATAAAGTACAACCATAACCACAATCATATTAACAGAAATGTGTCCCCACCAATATTTAAATATGCTCAAAATGTCCACCCCCACCCAATACATTGCTATAAAATAGATTTCTGTTTATATGATAAATAAATAGGGGACGTGTCTCCCGCAACGTATATTATAATGACGGTATTGGTTAACATTGCGCACTTTATAGCATTCGAGAACCTAAGGGGGAATTTTGATTTAAAGCTTTTCTGACTGCAGGGATTCATCTTCTTGGTTCTTTCGGTAAAGTCATGTAGAAGGGAAGTAATAAAATAATAAAAATAAAACATAATAAAATAATTCTCACGACGTTTCGGCCACAACGCAAGCAGCCGTCTTCAGGTAAAGAACAGGTCTGTCGGAAAGACAGCGTCTGAATGCTGTCTCACGACGTTTCGGCCACAACGCAAGCAGCCGTCCTCAGGTGAAGAACGGGTCTGGCGGAAAGACAGCGTCTGAATGCTGTCTTTCCGACAGACCTGTTCTTCACCTGAGAACGGCTGCTTGCGTTGTGGCCGAAACGTCGTGAGAATTATTTTTATTATGTTTTATTTTTTTTATTTTATTATTTCCCTTCTACGTGACTTTACCGAAAGAACCAAGATGAACCTAAGGGGGTTCAAGGCGGCAGGTTAAGGACCACTGCGTTGAAGGTGATGATGTGTCAGTGGGTCTCATGCGTTCCGTTTCATCGTAAAACTTCTACAGAAATGACCTCCACGCAGTTTTTTCCTGCATTTTTTTCTGTTTGCGCATAGTCACTTTAAGATTAAAATTTCGATTGAAAGCTTTCGTGGCTCCATCGATTCATCTTCTTGGTTCTTTCGGTAAAGTCACGTAGAAGGGAAATAATTAAATAATAAAAATAAACATAATAAGCTAAAATTCTCACGACGTTTCGGCCACAACGCAAGCAGCCGTCCTCAGGTGAAGAACAGAGCTGTTTGCGTTGTGGCCGAAACGTCGTGAGAATTTTCGCCTAATACGTTTTATTTTTATCATTTTATTATTTCCCTTCTACGTGACTTCACTTTAAGATGTTTTCTTGTTCATGTTTTAGTATTTTTGTTTGTTGCGGTTGCACCCGATTCAAGAGCCGAATGGCTCACGGGGCTCTACCAAATAAATTTAACTTGAAACTGAAACACGCGAAAGCGCCGTCGTAACCTTTTGCGAATTATGCAGGGCAATCCATTTACAGATACCCCACTCCCTCCCCCTTCTCGACAATCCAAATGAATAATCGTGAAAGCGATGTGCTCGGCACCCTACAGGGTGAATACTGTTACAAGAAGCAGTGCTTGCATTGATATTGGTGGGAAGACGCTTAAAGGTTTTTTGACATGCAACGGTTTCAGATCCTCTGTGGTTCCTCCAGATGCATTTTAGTGGGGTGTCTACAAACGGATCGCCCTGCAATTGTGTCTTATAACAAAGACAAAAGATCCCCACCCCCGAGATAGCCTCAGCCGACTGTTGGGGCAAGTGCTGTTGGCGAGCGTCCTTTGTCGGCCGCCACAGAACACACCGTCCTAGGTCATCATTTGACGCTGAGTCGACCTAGTAGAAGCGCCGGACCGGTTCAGATAATTATCGTCGCTGGTGTTGGCCGTGAGCGACACTCCGACTCATGCCGCCGGATTCGTAGCGCGGCGCGCTAACCACTGCGCCACCGCTCTCTGTCCGATAACACAAACACACATGGCATATGAAACTTATAATTAACCGATGTGTGCGTATTTGAATGATAAGCTAAGTGTCTGGTGTAGGGTCTTACGTCTCATCCGTGTACGCAGATCAAGCGCGTGCGTGATTTGTGCGCGTATAGCTATTGCACAAAGTGCACCTAGCCTGGCACAAGGCACTTCGTGACGAGTGGCGCTCATATTCTTGGTTCTTTCGGTAAAGTCACGTAGAATGGAAATAATAAAATAATAAAAATAAAACATAATAAAATAATTCTCACGACGTTTCGGCCACAACGCAAGCAGCCGTCCTCAGGTGGAGAACAGGTCTGTCGAGAAGACAGACCTGAGTGGCGCTCGTTTGGGTCAATCGCCGGACGAAGGCTTCCCACACGCCGTGTCGATCATCGTGGAAGTTTTTTGTTTGCCATACTTCACCCCCCTGGTCAATGGTTGAAACATCGTCGAACGACTGATGTCAAAGCCCCTAGTGAGTGCGCAATTGAAGTTACGTAGCAGGTCGTGTTCAATGAGCGATGCGCTAACCAGTGCGCCACCACTCCACCTGTGTACACGACACACGTGTACACGCGTGTGTGCGTTCTGCGTGCGGTGGTGTAGCGGTTAGCGCGCTGCGCTATGAACCTGGCGACCCGGGTGTGTGTACAGGTGTGTGTGTGTACAGGTGTGTGTGTATAGGTGTGTGTAGGTGTGTGTACAGGTGTGTGTGTGTACAGGTGTGTGTGTACAGGTGTGTGTACAGGTGTGTGTACAGGTGTGTGTGTATAGGTGTGTGTGTGTACAGGTGTGTGTAAAGGTGTGTGTAAAGGTGTGTGTATAGGTGTGTGTAGGTGTGTGTACAGGTGTGTGTGTGTACAGGTGTGTGTGTGTACAGGTGTGTGTGTACAGGTGTGTGTACAGGTGTGTGTACAGGTGTATGTGTGTGTATAGGTGTGTGTGTACAGGTGTGTGTACAGGTGTGTGTAAAGGTGTGTGTGTGTACAGGTGTGTGGATAGGTGTAATACAGGGTAGCGGTAATGTAGCTGTTCACGCGTTGCGCTACAAAACCTGGCGACCCGGGTTCGATTCCCGCTCACGGCCAACACCAGTGACGATTATCTGAACCGGTCCTGGGCCTCCCCTAGGTCGACTCAGCCTGAAATGAATACCCGGTGCGGTGTGTAAACATCGCAACTGGGGAGGCAAAGGCGGTCGGGCGTGGTGCTGGCCACCCACCCCCTCGTGTACCGTTTTGGCCTTCATAGGTGCTCGCTCACAGCACTTTCCCCTCCAGTCTGTTAAGGCTATATGGGGGATCTTTGTCTTTGTCTTTCTGATTTACGTGTGTGTGTGATGCACGTGCGTGTGCGTGTGATGCACGTGCGTGTGTGTGTGTGATGCGCATTAGCCGTGTCTCTGTCCATCTCGTCGTGTCTCTCTGGCCGTCTCCACGTGCCTCTATCCCCCCCCCCCCCCGTGTGTCTCCCTCTCTTCCCCGTCGATTATTTTATTGCTCCGAGTCGGATTCCGGACCTCGGAAACTCCGCTTCCTGAGAGTGGGGGGGGGGGGGGAGAGACCCCTCACACCCCCCCGCCCCCCGTATCACCTCCTTCTACCTCTTCCATGAATATCTCACACCCTCCGCTACCTCATCACTTTCCACCCTAGCCCCCTCTAAACCT